TCAGATTAATTTTATGAATTTTTTCGTATAAAAGAAAAAATGAATGAACAAATTTATGAAGAAGTTTTTAATACATTACCTACTAATCGTGTTAAAAATTTTGTTGAAGTTGAAGGTTATGTTCAACAAGTTAAATTGAGAGACGTGGACCCATTAATTGTATGTTAAATTTTATCTGTTTAATTTTAATTTAAATCAAAAATCTTTATTTTTAATTAAGGCACATGAAAAATGTAAACAAATTAAAGGTTTTATTGTTGAATTTCCATTAGAATTTTTAGCGAATGATTTTATCATGCCTAGATGGACAACAGCAGAAGGTCTGATTTAGAATAAATGATTTCTTACTTTATATAAATTAATTTTCATTATAGGTGTAGTTCCTATTTTCATGTGGACATAAACCAAAATATATCAATTCAACCAAATTATTATGTAGGAGAAGACAACAAACTTTGATTGTTTTCATTTACAAATAAAAAATGACTATATTTTAGATTTGTTTTTTTACTTTTGCTTCATTTTCTAAGAAATTGTTTTTACATTTATTCACAAATCGTACACATTTACTGGTGCTTTATCTATTATGAATAAATAATTTAAGTAGAACAAACAGTTGTAGACTATAGAATTCGATTAAATCTTATTTTATTCAAATAAATCTAGAGAAATTTATTTTATTCTTTCATTATTATTTTATTGAATCGTTTCATAATTCGTCATCAAGACTTCAAATATACACATATTTTATTCTTTAACTTTCAAAACTATTTCGATAGAAAGATAATCAAAATCGATTTCATCTATCACATTTATTAATTTGATAATCTTACATTTACAGTTAACAATTAAAATTTATCGAAAAATATCTTAATCAATAAGAAATCAATAGGTTTTAGTAAAGAATACGTCAGATGAGAGTCTAAAAGATTTAATAAATTACGTGCTTGTTATTATCTATTTATGAAATATGTTGAATGGCTGAATCCGAAAATTTGAGACATAATCAACTCTATCCTTGGCTCCGTCCCAAGATGTTCATGCAAAATTGTTTTGACAGCCCATGGATAGAGTTCATGGAGTAAACAAAAAATATTAGCACATAACGTAACAAAAAGTAGAGGATAGCAGTAAATGTACAACCGAAAAAAAAGAGAAAATATGTAGACAGAACGTAAATACATCTAAGACAGCTTCCAGTTCTATGAGCAGTTTCTGTTTTGAAAACTGAGTCCACTGATCCATTCTTTTCGTAAAAACTAATGTCCGCGCCAGAATAAAAGAGGGGTGAGTGTAAGCTCAATAACTCGACAACCGCAATACCTAGCTACCTGCGGTTTTCACCAATCGAAAGAGGAGGAGTGGGCA